CAGTGCAGCACCTTGCACTTGTCGGTGTTGAATCCCATCCTGTTCTCGTCCACCCACCCCGTAACCTGTCTAGGTCCGACTGCAGCCTATTCCTCCCTTCTAGCGTGCCCACATCCCCCCACATCTTAGTGTCATCTGTGAATTTGAACAGGGTGCTTTTTACCTCCTCATCCAAGTCACTGATGAAGATGTTGAACAGTGCAGGCCCGAGGACCGAGCCCTGGGGAAACCCACTGCCCACATCCCTCCAGGTCAAAAATGACCCGTCCACCACCACTCTCTGGGTGTTGACTAGAGGGCTGCTAGTGATCCATTTGACTGTGTAGGTGTCGACGCCACAGTCCCCTAGTTTTTTGATGAGAACGGGGTGAGAGACAGTGTCAAAGGTCCTCCTAAAGTCCAGAAAGACTACGTCCACTGCTACACCTACGTCTATGGATTTTGTGACCCGGTCATAGAAGGCCACCAGGCTGGTCTGACAGGACCTGCCTCTAATGAACCCATGTTGGTTGCCACTTGATTAGAGTACTATTACTGTGCAAAACAGACAGGGAGATGCAAAGTCCCTGGGTTCTTAACTGATATGCAGATAAGCGGAGTTTGTTACAAGGTGATCAACTGGGCTGGCACTGCGTTCCACAGTAAGCCAGCTCCCCACCTCTCTGACATGCACAAGCTGAACACGCTGTATGCCGCAATGAAGACAAGTGGCTCAAAAGTGCAGTATTTAAACAAATCAGAGGGGTAACCAGATATCATCGACACTCCACTGAAGTCAATAGGGGTACATGCACATGGCACAAGGCAGCATTGCAGAGACCAGAGCTACCTTTACACAATCAAGAGCTAAGGTATTGGAAGAAGCATAACCACATTAAGCAGAGTGCTGTTCTAGTACTCAGTGAGGCTACTCCCTTTCTAGTACCCAAGTGACTTAAGTTACCTGAGCATGGCAGTGACCTGGGTTAGGAACCGCAAGTCTAAAACAGCCTCCGGAGAGGCTTTATCGCTGAGTGGCCAAGGAGTAAACACATGCAGACAGAACAGAGCTGCCACACTGGTCAGTGCACAGGCCCACCCTGCCCAGGATCCTCGACCTCATAGTGACACCATAGATGGTAAGGAGAAAGCATTTATGCAGGGCCTGTCCAGCCTGATCTGTCCCCTGCCCATTCGCAGGCCAAAGAAGTCATATTTGGAGGCTGCACCCCCTATCACATTTAATATTTGCTGAGCATGGATGACTTTGTTCAATCTCCTTTGGAACCCAATTAAACTATAAGGCTCAAAAACACCCTGTAGAATTAACTGCCACAAGGGAATTGCATGAAAAATCTGCCCTTTGCTTGCTTTAAGCCTGCTCCCCAATAATGTCTTTGTGTGTCCCCTAGTTCTGGTATTACTTTCTCCATGCCATCCATGGATTGATACAACTTTGATATTCCCCCATAGCTTGGCAATGCTGAGGAAGGACTAAGAAAAAAAACGAAACACACACATACATTATTGTGATGGTTTGGCCTTGGGCAGAAAGTCAAACACTTATTCACTTACACTTGTGCCAGTTCACAAGCTCTGCCACTCCCGCCTGCAGCCTGCTCAGAGTATGGAGAAGAGAAGCCTGCTCCAATAAAGACTCATGCTCTTAAGACGATGCATGAGGGCTGCCCTTTCCACATGACAGTAGTTCTTAAACCTGCAAACTGGTGTTCAAAGGAGATGACCTCAGAGGATTTGCTGAAGTTGATTTACTCTCTTAGGCCAAGTACAGACATTATATTTTTACCGGTATAAGTGATCGGTCAGAAACTGGTCTATACCTGCAACAGAACAGAAGTTTGGCACATACAGACTGGTTTAAAAATGGCAGAACCTGATCTAAGATTTGCTCCCTCCCACCAAAGGGAGAATGTATGTTCTATTCACTACTGGTCTAACTACACTGCTTACAGAAAACCACATAACTTAGATCAATTCTGCCTAAAGGCTTTCTTGAATGTCTGTACCTGGCCTTAACCTCCAATAGAGATTCCTGGAGCATTCATTGGATGTTGGATGGTACAGTATGCAAAGACCCCCAATCCAGAAATGCTTTTTGCTTCCCCTTCAGGCAGGACTTAGATGGTTTGGATAGGGATGATCCTGCCTCAGGCAGGGGGTTGAACTAGACTAGTGTTTCCCAACTTTTTCCAGCCCAAGACACATTAGCATTAATAACAAAATTTCTGCAGCGCACAACCCCCACCCCCAATTTCATAGAAATCATAGAGATTAAGGGCTAGAAGGGACCTTGAAAGATCATAGAGTCCAACCCCCCTGCTCTGGGCAGGACCAGCTCCAACTACTTTCAAGTTTGGGGACTGCACCACCTCCTTGGGAAGTCTATTCCAGATTCTGGTCACCCTTACCATAAAGAAGTTCTTCCTTGCATGTGACCTGAAACTATCCTCCAACAGTTTATAGCCATTGCTCCTTGTCATCCCCTGGAGCACTCTAGTGAAGAGTTTCTCCCAGCTTCCAATATTCACCCCTTACATACTTATAGATGGCCACCAAGTCCAACCAAATTTGTAACTTATATAAACAATGCATTTCCATTTATTCATTTTTCTAATATATGACTAATTTTCCAAAATTCTGTGGCACACCTGTTCATTTCTGATGGCACACCATTGTGCCACAGCACACTGGTTGGGAAACACTGCACTAGGTCACTTCCAGAGGTCCCTTCCAGCCCAACTTCTCTAAGAGTCTATGATTCTAAGAAGGAAGGGTGTTACGGGTCACTGGTGTAAAACAGATACATGGAGAAGTAATGAGTACCACCCTGAACATCTGAGCATGAGAGTGCTGCTTGTCAGAAGGAGGGCAAAAGTAGCACAAATCAAAAGTTTGTTCCTTCTTTAGAAGAGGTTCTTGAATAAGGCGCCAGGAACCATGACCATGCACTGGCAGAAATGACCCATTGATCCCTTGAGGGGCAGGAAGATGCATGGAACTCATGCTTCTAGATACCGTGACAACAGGTCCCTTTGAAAACTGACCCAGGCAGCTGCTTGAGTGAGCTGTTCTCCCTGTGTCATTATTCCTGACACATTTCCTACAACAAAAATACCATTTCAAGGGAAAACTTAACAAAAAAAGTTAGTCCTCTGATGAGTAAATGCTCCTCAGACGAGAATATTCACAGATCCATGACATGGTACCAGCATCAACTCACCCCTATGGTCGATGCCATGTAGTCTGCACACATTTCAGCAAAGTCCCGCTCCAGTACCCCATAATAAAGCCCATAGAACAGGAGAGAAATGCCAAAATCCATTGCATCTTCTGGTTTGATTCTACAAGAAAGACAAAGGACTCTCATTTAACACCGAGCACATGCAAAACCAGCTGCTGTAGAAATAGAATGATCGTGGCAAAATCCTCACAGCACATTAACTCCACTGCCAACAAACCCTGCCAGCAAATAAGTGCTTGTTGTTTTTAAATCTCCTCACAGAATCATTTGCAACAGCTACATCACAATCCTAGTCCATAATTCAAGGCCTCTGGGATGTCTCCCCAGCTAAGCTGTCGGAAACAGCTTCATCTTAATGCAGCAGAACACATTCATTCCAGTCTGTGCAAAACACAGGCAGTCTCTGCACTTTCCCCTGGAGGCAACAGACGTGCCTAGCAGTGAAGGCAGGACAGCTGGCAAGATGCATGTGACACTCACTAGCTCCCACACAGAGGATGCCAAAGCCTCAAAATTAGGCAGTGCAGCTAGTTTGGCATGGCAGAGCGTGCAACAAGAAGCATGCCTGAGAGAGAAAGCTGGGGCATGGCTCCGAGCAGGTGCTCGGGGCTGCACTACACAGGAGATCCTGGACTGTTCCTATGAGGGTAGCTCACAAGCTGCTTAATTCACAGCAGGTTGCTGAATTAAGGATGAGCTGCCCAGCTGTTTGCTGCAGCCCTTTACTTCAAAGGGCATCACATCTCTGATCACCTGGAGCTCATCAGCAGTCCTGTGCAGCTGACTGATGTGACTCTATGCCCTGGTCACTTCGCAGAAGCAATAAGAATACCTACTTTCTGGCTTTTGCTAAGTGGCAAGTGGGAATGTGCTTCCTGGGGGCACTCCCTACCCCATGGCAGAGGCAATGCAGATTTGCTGGTAAAGACCAATTCTGAGAACTAAGCTGAAATTGCTCTTTGTGGGTATTTGGTACTTTCCAGAAGAAGCTCAGCAGCAAACCTGGACATGTTACACTTAAAAATAGCTTTAGAACACAAAATAGGCTTCCAGCTAGCTGCTACATGCCTCTGCAGGTGAATCAACTCTGATCAGTACAGGCCCAGGAAGAAAAAAAAGCCATCAAATACATCTAGCTGGAGTGCTGGGTCTGGGGGAGCTGGCTGCAGGAGTAATGTCAGGATGCTGTTTTCTCAGTATGGCAGAGGACAACTGTTACTGGTATTTGGCCTGGAGCTGCACAAGAGGATTAGAGGAGAAAGCATAAAAAGGTGGTGACAAACACTGCACACAAAGGAAAGGGATTGTGTGCATGACACCGGAGCATCCTCACTGGAAGCCAGGTGCTGGTTTGGGAGCAACCTGAACAGTCACCTGTGATTGCTCAGCAGCTAGAAGAGAATCCAACAGTTGCTCTGATCTCCTGCCTTATGGATCACAAGGCCACAACTTATTTCTAGTTACCATCCTTTAAAGGAACACCGTGCTAACACCCAGATCTACAGGGCTTTGACAATTCACCATGTTGATAGCAGCTACACATTAGAGATTTGCTCACCTGAATAATAAGTTAAGACCAAAGAGTGTGAACATTACAGCCATGTACCCAACAATTCCTGTCGCGTAGCTCATCTTGTATATTAGCAGAAACCATTTATACACCAGCCTGTAAGAGACGTATAAAAATGAAGGCATTAGGGTTTCTTGTAGTCTCACAGAACACCCGAGAGTTTTGCTGTATCTTAGGATATATGTAGCTGTCTGCATGAAAAGGAGGTAAGATCTGGCATGCCTGATGGAAGCTAACAGCTCACAGTCCTAACCCCCCTCTGATGATTATTCTACTCGTGACTCTAGATTGCCACAGCATGACAACTTCTAAATCCATTAGATCTTGACCTTCAAGACTAGGAGCAAATGCTGTGTCCTAAACTGGGAATAGGATGCGAGCCCCCCTCATGCCCAGAAGAACTGACATATATCAAGCTTTCAGTCAGTCACTCAGATTAGCACTGTTCTGGGAAAATTAAATATTTGTGATAGGCCCATTGGCAAGCAGCACAGCAAGATGGTTAAAGGGGCACGTTTAACCCAATTTATCGGATGACTCTTCCCACAGGCGAGAATATGGCTCAAGTCCAGAGTTGAACTGAAAAGTTTAACCACAATCATTCTGTTAGAAAGAAATCAGCTGCTGTCGCAGATTGTGCGCTTCTAGCCTTGGGCTTGCGATTCACAAGGAGAGGTACGTGCTAACCTGGGAGTTGTTTGCACGAGAGGTTTACGGGTGGCTCTGAATGTGACGAAGGCTGTGACGGTGGAGAAGAGGACCCAGATCACCAGGAACCGCCACCAGTGCAGCTTCATTGTGAAATAAAGAGGAACAACCCACATCTGAAAGAGGGTCACCATCTGCAAGGACAAATTAAAGGCATATCAGATAAATGCAAGATCACACTGTTTAACCAGCATTGAAGGGCACCCCAGATCTGGTAACCTTTGTTCTCCCTTTATCTCTTAGACACGGTTTATTCCTAGAGAGAGGGTGCAAATATTAATTGTGCAATTCAACCCACTGAACACTGGTAGTGCAATATGAGATTTAAGTCAGGCTACTGAGCTCTGCTCAACTCTGCTAGAAGAGGAATACCAGCAGAGCTGCTCTCTCATCAGTTGCTGAGGTGGCCACATCAGCTTTCCTCTACTCAGGATTCCTCAGAGTCTCATGTTCACCCTAAAGCAGGTGCTGAACGATGGATTCAAACAGCAGTAAGTTTCAGACTCAGTTGTACCATTTCCATTGTTCCCCTGTACTCAGTTTTTCCAATGCAAATAAGAGTTATTTGCAACATAGCAGTTTTTAAAAAAACCTGAACCAAATGTTTTCTTGACCAGTTAATTAGCATAACCACCACCTTGGGACCCAGAAGAGAAACCTCCTTCATCTCAAGTGGATAAGTGCAGCCTGACCCAAGTCAGTGGTAGGAGAAAGGATTCAGCGAACTGAGTGATCCAATGAGTGTAACCCAAAAGGTCAGCAATCATGAAAGCCAGCTGTCATTCACCAAGCTGTTCAAGGTATTCTACTAATCACATTATTCTAAGTAAGCGCGACGGCAAGATCAACTGGTCCCATTGTTTCTTTAAGGATTAGCACAAGGGTGTTCAACCCCCAGCCCATGGGCCAGGGCTGGATCCTGGCACAGGCCATGTGGGGGTGGCACAGGGCCAAATCTGACCTGTCGACTTGATCCCTGCTATAAAACTGGCTTGCAGGGCCAGATGAATGGGGCAGTGCCAGTCTGTATGTTGGGACTCAGTCGTGAGAGCCTGATGTTAGCCCCTCCTGCGTCAGGACTAGGTCCCAGTGTTGCCCCCTCCCAGCCCCCCACACCAGGACTGGGGTCCTGAGGCCCAGCACCATCTTTGTCCAGGCCTGCATGCACTGGGATTGGGTGTGCCCCATCTAGCACGCACGGCCCAGGGTTCTTCATAGGTTGGGAAATATGGCACCAGGGGAGTAGTGGCACCACTCCCCTGCTGCCAAATTTCTGGACCTGCAGGGCATCTCATGAGCCTGATGAGACTGTGCCACAGGTTGGACCTGGCCTATGGGCTAGGGGCTGAGCACCCCTGGACTAAAATGGATTAAGTGGTGAGGTTTTACATGGATTCACTTAATTACTCAATGAAGTACTGTATTTACTCAAATATAAGGCAAGGTCCCACCTGCCCCTCCCCAATCAGCATGGGGAAAAAAAACCCTCTTCCTCTTATATGGTTTCCTTGTATGCGAACATTAAATACATTGTCTATCTCTGAACTGGTGTTAAAAACAGCATGTGCTCAGTAATGGAACCAGCCATGAAGTTGATTAAATGCAGCCGAAGCTGAGCATGACTACAAAATACATAGTGGCAACTTTGCCAGTGGGAACCTACCACAAGGATAGACTACTGCAGCCCAACTGAATAATACCTATTGTGCACAGTCCCCCTCAGTGCCAGCTCTTTCAGAGGAGGGGCACTCTGAAGTGCTCTGGGTTAGAATA